GGCTGCGAGCCGGTTTCTCGGAGGCTTGTTTCCCCGCTGAGGTGCGAGCATGGGGTGTGTGGTGGGAGGGGGTGTGCTCGCGGCGCTGCTCGGGCCGGAGGAGGATCGAGCCCTGCGCTGAAGGCGCTGCCATCCCCCGACCAGAGTCCCCACCGCCAAGGCAGAGGGGGGTGAGGGAGGGACTGAGCACCGCTCGGGGACCTGCCAGTCGCCTTGGGCGACCACCCTGGCGTCAGGGACCCGCTGGCTGATTGCCAGTTTGGCAGGGTGACTTGTGGCTGCCTGGGTCAGAACTGAAGGTACTCCAATAGCTCTATTTCGGTGGTGGTAATGGGATGTGGGGGCTAAGAGGTAAATCAGCTAATGGGTGTTTTCATGTCCTGCGGTACGCGTTATCGAGGAGGAGTCGTTAGGACGGAACGGACAAGCTGTACCCAGATCCGATTAGCGCTTTGGCAGCTGCGGAGGCTGTACTCACATGACATTTTCGGACGTCACCCTGAAGAAGCCCGTGTTTACAAAGGCTGGAGTGCTTCTTCTAGAGGATTACAAATAAGTCCCGTGTCTCAATGGGAAATGTAAAAGTACTGCTCTTGGGAACATGCCGTGTCTCACTGGCATGTAAACAACATTCAGGACAAATATGTACATATACCTAGGAGAAATGGCCAGTAATAGCACGATGATTGCAAGGGAATATAGTCCTGCAGTCTGTGGAAAGGCAGCAAATTGTACTTTCATCTCGAAACTTTTTTAACAAAATTTTTGTTTTGGATTTATTCATAGGCTCAACTAATGGATGTGAGAGGACTTCTTTTGCATTTTTGCGACAAGAACTTCCTGTGAGGTTTGCAAACATACTGAGAGAAATCGATCTTCTTCCTGATAAATTACTAGGCACTCCTTCAGTACAACTAGTAAAACGCTGGTGAGTAAGAACTACTTGAATTCATGCTGTAATATAACAGCTCTGACAACTTGGTTGTCATCAACTTCTTTGAATAGTAGAAGACAATGTACTCTGGAAATGCAGTTCGTTCTTCAAAGCTGAATTGCAAGCTGTTATACACTTTCCTTTTCTAGCATACTAAAACTGAAAACCAACATGATTATTGTTATTTTTAAGTAGTATTTTTTAAATTAACAGTTTGAAATAGGTGGTAGAGCAGATTTCCCTTCTTTTTAAGAAGAGAGAGAAGGAAAGGTGTTCTGTTTTCACACAGCATTACAGACCCCCAGAGCTACACAAAAATGGAAGAGCAGTCTATATACTTGTTTGTGTCTCTCACCGATGGTTTTACTAACCGAGATTCTGTTCCACAGCATGTTGCCTTGGCCTATGCACCAGGTGTTTGGAATTCAGTTACCATAATCTGTGTGGTTGACACAGTGGTTGGATCTGATTTAACCTTGCTTTACTGGCACAGTTGCAGCTTTTGCAAGGATGGCTGACATAAAGGGCAAAAGTATTAGAGTGAGATCTAGAACCTGTTGTTAATCTGCTAAACAGTTGTGCCTTTGCAATATGCGTCAAGGCTGTCAGATGTTAGCAAAAGAGGCTCAAGTGCTTAGCTTGTGCCAAAGCTGATCAGATTTGGACAAATTTTGCTTAGCTGGCTTCCTGGTCACTATTGTCATTTGGATCTTCTTTTGAAATGCTTCTCAAGAATTGTAAGGAGATCCTATGTACCTAAAGAAAGGGCTTAGTTTCCTTTCTGGGTGGCAGGTACAAGAAAAGACTTTTTAAACTTCTAGGGTTCAATCAGTCAGGAAGTGTTCTTCTGTGATTCCATACTTGGATGGAACTTTGATACTTCAAAGATCCTTCAGACTTCTGGCTGACTTGTTAAGAGTAATGATTTGAACAAGACAGTATTTTTCCTGTTCCTAGACTAATACAAATCAAATTAATAGCATATATTTCTTGTGTTCTTTTTCAATAGGTACATCCAAAGCCTTATGGAGCTGGTTGAGTTCCATCAGAAAAGCCCAGATGACCAAAAAGTCTTATCTGAGTAAGCCTTTCATTTGTTTCTTTGAGCTTTTGATCTCTCATTTGATTTTTCACAGTGTAGTCAGTTTAGAATAACAGTTGTCATGAGCTGAATTTTGATAATCCTGCATGAAGTGTGGTACATACAGCAAGCTGGTTTTAAGTCTCTGATCATGTTTATCAATACCGCAAATAAATATGACCTGTTGCAGCTTGGTTTTGAGGGCATACTGCCCCTTGAACTTCCATGACAGAGAGATACCAGCAGAAATTACCTTCTTTCCAAGATGTCAGCTAGGGATCTCTTCCCCTCTCAGCAGTCTTTTCTGCTCAAACTATTTTGAATGAGTAAACAGGCAGTTAATTTGATACAGCTAAGGATTCCACCTTTTATTTTAAAAATATCAAACTTTTCTTATTTAGGTCAGTGAGGAATTACATTTAAAATAATAAAAAAATAGAATGTATTTTAGTATTAAGTTTGTTTTGCAGTTATCTGTACTGTTGCTGGAATAGATAATGACATTGTGCAAAGCTTGCCTCTATGGAGTCGTAGAATAATGTTCTAAAAACGATCTCTTTTTGCCCTAGCTTTATAGATACGTTAATTAGAGTCCGAAACAGACATCATGATGTGGTTCCTACAATGGCACAAGGAGTAATTGAATACAAAGATACTTTTAAAGTAGATCCTGTCACCAATCAAAACATTCAGTACTTTTTGGATCGTTTTTACATGAGCCGTATTTCTACCCGGATGCTAATGAACCAACACAGTAAGTAAAAATTTTTACTTGAGGAAAAACTTCAACCTAATGAGAAATGTGTTAATGTAAACATTTCTTAAAACTGTTGGAGATCTGCCTCAGAAAATTTTGTGTTACACTGAAAAGTTAGAAACTGACTGTATGACTTCTGAAAGTGATGGGAAATCTTATTTTCTAGACTACAGACTAATTGTAGTAAGTCTTGTTCTTTACATCTGAAAAGCTTTTAAATGTTGAACTACAGAAAAGCCAACATAGTTTGCTGGCAGTAGGTAGCATTTTTAACTTGCAAAAGGCATAAATAACACTCTGATTATAGGCTGTGATCACGCTGTGTTAAAGGCATTTTTACAATACAGTATTTGGGATTAAATACAGTATTCTTTTCATCTCAAACAGCCCTTCTTTTTGATGATAAATCCAGTTCAGGGCACCCAAGGCACATTGGAAGTATTGATCCTTGCTGTGATGTTGCTGAAGTAGTGAATGGTATGTATGCTCAGATTCTTAACATTCTTCTCTTCATAAGCAGTACTTATATCTGCTTGCAAAGCAATGTGGGTAACCATGTCTTGTATAGGATGCTTACTGGTTTTAATTGAAATAGCTGAAAGCAGTCTATCAAAACACAAGCTTTTATAGGACAGAATTGGAAATACAAAGTAGCAGTAAAAAGTGTGTTGGAATAAGGCTTAGCAAGTGACAGGTGAGGTAGGAGTTAAAGTTGTCCGTGGTGTTGGGATCAGCCTTACCTACTGTTAGATAACAGATGCATCTGCTTTACAGAATTATTGAATTGCACTGAAGATTTGCCCATGCTGCTGTAATTGTCTATTTATTCTCAGTTTCTAATGCACACAGTGGATGCAATGTTGTCATCCCCTTTGAAGCATAGGCTTAGAGTCTTAAAAACTAGTGCAGTTAAAAAGTGTATTTTGTCATGCTTTAGAATTATTTTCTACAGTGTTTGATATTACATTTCACATACTCTGTTAAAATATTTGTTTCAGATGCTTTTGAAAGTTCCAAGATGTTGTGTGACCAGTATTACTTAACATCTCCAGAACTGAAACTTACCCAAGTGAATGGTAAGATGAGATGCCTTCTGATTGGTAGCCAAACTGCTGCTTTTACTGAATCAAAAGGCTTCCATTATTGTAAAATTTTTATACAGTAAAGAAATTCCATCTTTCTAAATTTTGCTTGTCTTTTTTTCCCTTCCTCTAGGAAAATTTCCAGGAGGGCCAATTAACATTGTATACGTTCCATCTCATCTTTTTCACATGCTTTTTGAGCTCTTTAAGGTATGTCAGTATATGCTGTTTCGTCTCTTAGTAGTCAGAGCTGAAGTGTCAATATTTAAAATATCTAGCTAGATATGAATGAAGTAAAGCTTTGCATAGGACTGTGAGATTTCTAGATTTTCTTATTTGGGAAAATAGCTTTGGCAGTTGGGAAATGAATGACTGCAATTTGTAGGACAGTATCTGACATTTTCAACTGGTTTAAATGGAACAGGGTAAGGGAGTGAGAGAGTAAAAGTGGGACATTGGGTTGTGGCAACTTTCCCTGTTTAGGTATTACATCTGTATCACAGGTTTGCCCTGGTGTCTTTTCTGTGGAGTGGGTGATACTTCTTGAAGTAGTGAATGGGGCTGAACTAACATGCTGCTGACATGGGGTGCAGAATTCTGGCGGCCTGTAGCAACTGCTGAACTCTACTCTTCTCCAGATACGTGGTGACTTTAAAAGAGCTGTTACTTAATTTACACTGGCTGAGTTATGTTGGGCAAAACCAGTGTAATTTTTTGAGCACAGAAGAGTCTTAGCTATGCTTAGTCACTTTTAGGTGAAGACCTCCTCTGCTCATGTTACGCTAAATTGCTAAGTGTGTTCCTTGGAAGCTAGGCACTAGAGTGCTAGTAATGGAGGGTAACTGTGCTCAGCTACTGTAGAACAGGGGAATGATTTTAAGTGCATAAACCCAACATTTTCTGATAATAGTGACATTCATTTCCGTAGAATTCAATGAGGGCAACTGTTGAATTCCAAGAAAACAGTCCTTCTCTTTCTCCAATTGAAGTGACAGTTGTTCTAGGACAAGAAGACCTTGCAATTAAGGTATTTTGTTCGTCTACTGCAATATGGGCTTAATGTCATCTTTATAATTGCATATGCTGCTGCAAATTCTATTAGAAGAACTTGCAGCCTCTGACAACAGATGAAAGATACTATGCATGAGCCTTCTGTTCTTTGTGCTAAAGAGAAGCTATCATATAATTGAGAAATAATATGCTGCAAAACAAACATTTGCATTTATTATCTGTTAGAAGGGTTTCTTCAAATAACAGCATTTTAAATACCATTCTTAGTGCGTGATTGTAGTGAACTTTATTCTCTCTTAACTCAGATCTCAGACAGAGGAGGTGGTGTTCCAGTAAGGAAAATTGAGCAGCTGTTTAGCTACATGTATTCCACTGCACCAAGGCCAAGGATGGATGATGGTCGAAATACCCCTCTTGTAAGATATTTTCAATACTGATTATACTAATAAGGCTTCTTTAAGTGTTGGACGATTGGTAGGTTAATAAGTTACAAAATGTTGTGCCCACCCTACTGCTGTGTGGGGTATGCAAAGATTATTGAGCCTCATAAATATGAATAAACACTGCCTGAAACAGATTTTTCTTAATATGTAGCTTAGTGGAAAAAATATGCTTTTAAAGGTATAATCAAAGAAGAACTTTCTAGCCTGAATTTAACTCTGGGTTGTTTGTTTTTTTTCCTTATACTCCAATGTCAGTAATTTACTTGGTCTTCACTCCCACTCAGTCCTCAAACTTATTTATAAATTGTGTTATCTTTATGGAGGCAAGCTCAACTGGAATAGGCTTAGACTATTCTTGTTTATCTAGCAGGAGCAAACTTCTCTTACTAATCGAGCTGTACTAGCAAAAACAAGGCAGTGAAAATACAGAAATGTAAGACATATGTATAAACCCTTCCTCTTTCATGGAGATTGGGTTGTTGTTTTTTTCATTCTTGAGGTTTTTGTTTTATTTTTAAATGGTAATTTTTAATATTCTGTATGAAACTGATTAGAGATTTGTTTTCTTTTAAGAGATTAGTAAATGCAAAGTACTTCCTAACAATTTAAAATATCCTAACACTTCCCTGCTATTTAATTTTATGTTGTAAGAGCTAGTAAAAATAAATTAATTTTGTCTTTATTTTTAGGCTGGCTTTGGGTATGGCTTGCCAATTTCTCGTCTGTATGCTAAATACTTTCAAGGAGATCTAAATCTCTACTCCATATGTGGTTATGGAACAGATGCAATTATCTACTTGAAGGTATGTATTTTAATTTGATTAAATAGATAGTGTTGATAGCTGTCCTTAATGCAGTGAGAACTATTTGGTACCATTTTAAGGTAAATAAATTCTCTGCTCATGAGTAGAAAAGCTTTTTTTTTTTTGAGCAATGCTAGTAAGATTTGTAACTGGTATCTGGAATTACAAAGGTCGCTTGGCTTTAACTAGTTTACTTGGGTAACTGCTAGTGAGACCCCATTAGTTCTTAGATTCTATTAAGTCTTGTTATCTGCTGGCTAATGGAACACAAAGTACTGGGAGAAAGTGAAGTGACAGAAACAGAAAGGTGTGAGCAACAGATCTGGATTCTTTACTGCTTCTTTACTCTGACAGCCAGCCTGCCTGCATAAACTAATCCTTAAGGAATCTAGTACCTGGTCCTATTCAACATGTGCCATGTAGCCCAAATATGGGATTCAGATATCAGTAATCTTGATTACCTGACCTATAACATGCACTGCAACTTTTGTAACTATCCTGGAAAAAGGTCTACATATTCTTTTCTACTTTTTGCACTTACTGATGGGAAAAACTTGCTTAGAATTTCTTCTACTAAACCAAAAACATAGTTCTAAGCACACTGAAGCACAACCAGAGAAGCAGTACAAAAGGAAGAGATGGTTCAGCTATATATATGTTGCATTTCTATTTAACAGTTCCCCAATAGCATGAGTTATTTTTTCAGCTGTAAAACATAGAAGTAGAAAAGGAATAGATTTTAAAGTGTCTTTGGAATTTTGTGAATAAAAGTTCTTTTCTGTGGCTTCCACATCTATCTTGAAAACAAATTACAGAGTAACTCTTAAGGCCTATAAAAATGATTTGATGTTACTGCATTTGTCCTGACAAATTTTCCAAGGCAAACGTGTATAAAATATAAAATAACTATTTTGTAGTGTCACTGGCTTAACACTTGTAACACACTGCATGAATTTTTGCAAAATTATATTATTGAGAGGTAGAAACCAAGTAATTTTTTTCCTTCTTAATTTTTAGGCCCTATCAACAGAATCAGTAGAAAAACTCCCAGTTTTTAACAAATCTGCTTCCAAGCATTACCAAGCTACCTCAGAGGCGGATGACTGGTGCGTCCCAAGTAAAGACCCAAAGAATGTATCAAAGCAGAGTGCAGCTCTCTGAAGAGAAGTTGGTATCCAGGCACCCAAGGGGATCAAGCTGACTTCTTAAAACAGACTAGCGTTTGGAAGTATTTGTCTACCTCCAAACAAGCAGTTTAAGGACTGGCAGAAGAGAAAGAAGATAAGGATGTTATAGTGTAGGATGTAGCCACTACATAAATCTTGCTGTGGACTTCAGGATGAGGAATATAAGAGCACATATGTCTTTAAAGAATGTATGTGTATAGAGGAAAATCAGATTTTTTTTTTCTTATGATCAAAGACTTGATGTGGTAGAGGTGTGCAATTTTTGAGTCCTGTTTAATGTCTGAATTCTGAATACTGATAAACGTCTATATTTTTCTCCTAGAATAGTTATCAGTAGTTCAACTTATTACAGGACTTATCAGGTAGATAGGTAACACCTGTACTTTAAAGCTGTATTTATAACGTTTGGAAAAGATCCACTTAACATGGCAGTCTTGTAGCAAGATACAAACAGCATTCAGATTTGGCCTGACCAGAAGAGCGGGAGCCTGGGATGTAGGGAGAAAGTGTTTTCCATATATAAGGAAGCATTTTTTTTTTTTAAATCCCTATATTTCAGTAAGGATTCTTATGTGATGCCTTGCTCTGTGACTTACATAGCTAGATTTTTTTTTTCCATTAAGCTGTTCATGGAGAAACTAGCCAAGTAAGGCTCCTATGCATAAGATAACTAAGAAGGAAGTCAGGATGTTTTAGAAAGCTACTGGAAAGAAATGTAAAGCTACTTGATTATAGAAGCTGCAAGGCTAGGTTACTTCTAGCCTACATCCCTGCACTCAGGAAAGCATGTGTCAAGTAAGTAGGTTAGGATTTTCCAAGAACTGAAGTCAGACATGCAAGTTGAACAGAAAGGTTTTGGTGGTTTGTATTATGTAAGGATGATGTGGGAAACAACAGCATGTTTAAAACATGGTCTTGTGGTTCCTTTTTGTTAGAAGATCAGTGGCTCAATACACAAAACCAAAATCTCACACTCATCTTTGTCAAATATGTGTTGGACCACTCTAGCTTAAAGAGGTACATGGGATTCTACACCTTGAAAGCTGTGATGATGACTGAAGGTCTATTTGAGAGGTTTCCAGGAAGAGTAGTCTTAGAATTTTATTCTAAGAACCATTCATTGCAATGGAAAGGGCTCTTAGGAAATGAGAAGTTTCAAAATACAAACAGCACTGAAAACTATAAATTTTTATGAGCAGCAAAACAAAAGGGAACTGCACAGTGCCAGTGCAAGAGCACTGTTGGGAAAATATTTTGTTCTTAATAAGCTTCTTCCTTTCCCATCTTCTTTGTGGATTTTCCCTTACAAGCAAAGTAAACTTAGTGACAGAATAGAAGTTAAGCTGTTGGACATTACCAAACTGGCCAGTCAAAGTTCATCAGGGCTGTATAATGTGACTTTTTTTTTTACATATTAGCTTATTATTTTAAGTGTATATGATCCTTCACAAGAAGTTACAAGTACATCCTGCTCACTCGTATGACAGTTTTCTAAAACAAATTTGTATTTGGACAGAAAGCCACTCCATACTCTACTGTGAATATCAGATATTTTATTAATAGGAATAAGAGAAAGCTGGAACTACCTTCTTGTTCTGGAAGCCCTGCTGGGATAGATTTCTCAATCAAACATAAAATAGTACTCTGATGGTCTTCATTTTTTTCAAAAAAACCTAAATTTAGAAGTATTGGTGATAACTGTTGAGCATAATGGCTTTAGTACTGCATCAAGGCTGTTTTTATCCCAGTGAATAAGCTGCAGTCACCAAAGGTCACCAGATCATATATCTGAGCTTAGCTCAGTGAATGAAAGGGTTAATAAAAACAAAATATCTTTGTCTAGAATGTACAGGTGTGAAAAAGCTGTTTTCACTGCCATAATATACTTGAATATTTGTTGATTTTTGTATTGAATACAAGGTCACAAAAACATACGTAGGTAGTCATTGTTGTCAAATATATACAAATTATACCTCTGTCTGCACCTGGTAATGATTGAACATGAGTGATGATCTCATGCTGTTACTATACGTCTCTAATATAGCTGCAACTATTGCAGGTAGGAGCTGTAACTTCTCTCTTAAAGCAGCTGAAGCATGTGGGTGCTGTAAACACATCTGTAATGTTGCTTGTAGAGAGAAGCTGCAGAACATATGCATGATGCAGACAGAGGTGTGTATAGCACTTAAGGAACTTATGTGCAATCTCTGTAGTACTAAAAATTACTTAAGGGCTGTCTACCTAGATAACACAGTACTTTTTTTTCAGCATTTACTGAATTTTTATTCCTGAAAGTAGAGCTGTAATTTTAAGCCTTTTACTTGGATGTAGATGTTGAAACAATTTTATAATAAAATCTTCTAAATAATTGTCTAGTATCTTATTTTCTTCTATGAAGTCTAGTACAAACAAGAGCCTTTTTATTTTAAGTCCTATCAAATGGAGCTGAGAAAAGCAGCTTTCATGCTGTGTCAGATAGATGTAGCAGGAAGGAGAAACACTAAAAGGACAGTCTACTTGTGCTTAATGTTGCATCTGCTGAGAGTTTACATAGTGCCTAAAATCAGTGCATCACCTCACACATCACCTTGTTCTTTCTAGTTAGGCTACTGTTTGTCCTCAGAGATGAGAATTGAGAATCTGTCATCAGTGCACATTCTACCCTCTAAAATACCTAAATTTTTTTCAGCTGTAAAGAATGTGAAAATTCACTACAAGTTTTAGTTTTATATAAAAAAGACATCCATCATTGAGTCTACATTTAACAAAACTACTTTCACAAGCTAAATGGAAACCTCTCTTCCAGCTCTGAAGCAATGGGATGACTGGTTCTTAATAGCTGTGCCATGATAAACTAGTCCTGTACAACTGGTGCTTTAGCAGAGTTAAGTTGACGAAATTAATTCCCCTTAATTTTAAGAAGATACAGTAATTGTAAAAATGCATGTAGACACTTTACCTGAAAGATGAGAGTTGAAAAACAGCCAGGCGGCATGTCTGGCAGCAAGTCTACAAGTGACATCCTTGCATGCTGAGTTTTTCCTTCTTAACAATGCTTTTTCAACTTCTTAATGATATCTTTTCACCTGTAAAGGCAGGGAAGCATTTAAGGATTTTGCAGTTACAGAAGTGTACCACTCTCACATATCTGTATCTCAGGTGTGTTGGGAGAAGCAACTCAGAAGTAAAGTACACCGTGGACTTTAATAAACTACTGCAGAAATAAAAAACACCCATTGTGTTTTCTTTTCCCCATCCACCTTTGCTGCTTTGCAGACCCTAGAGACAGGACTAGCACATTTTCTCTCAGGTTTTTTCCAAGCATAAATACATGTACATACATTCTATACCTCACCCACAGCAGACTTGGGAGATGTACATGCTGCATGTGGAAGCTGGGCATGCTGTGGATGCGTCAGGGATGTACCTGGCTTGCTGTGCAGCCCCGTATAGAGCATGTGGTCTCTGCAGCACAATGCTTGCAAGCCATCAGTTCCAGCCAAGCTCCTGCAGTCCAGAAAGTGCCAGAAGTTGAAATGGTTTTGTTTTTCCTTCCCAGAGACAAACCCAGTGAGTGACAGAGTTCAGCAGAGCAGCAGTGGTGGCAGGATGGCTTGCTTCTCGCATGTCAGAGGGTCACTGATATCAGCAAGTTTACTCATGGCTAAAAGGCATTCTGGTTTCACAGGAGATAAGCAGATGTTGCACTTCTCCCCTTTGCCCTCCGATCAGGATCTCACAAAGCCAGGTTCCTGACGTCAACAGAAACCACCACCTTATGTTTTCTCTTCCAGATCATTAACTAAAATCCATACTTTATTTATTACTGGTGCCTTGGGCACACATCTAGATTAATCTCCCTGGAACTTTGATAAGCAGTTGTTCATTATAATCTTTTTCCTATCACTTACCCAAGCTTTCAAATCTACCAGACTTTGCCCTTAGCATGCAGTAATGTCCTTCCCATAGCACTATTACAAAACAAGCTTTGCTACCTTTGATAAGAAACACTACTGGACTGGAAAAACAGATTGGTTTGGGATTTTTCCCCTTAATGATGATGACTTGAGAGGATGATCAGGTTATTACCCCCAAGAATTGCTTGCCTTTAAATTCTTGAGCAGCTGGGGCAAATGGAAAGTAGATTGTGGCAGCATATGATCCTCCAGCTCAGCTGATTTGAGGGGGGTGGCTATAGAGACAGACTATAGAGAGAGATAGACTTCTGGCTTTGCATCTTTGAGCTTGTATTTCCTAAAAGCTAACAACACACTTTCAAGTGTCTATATCCTGATCCTGTGTTACAGGCCCTAAGGTGGCTTTGCACATCTGTGCTGGCATGCACCTTCAAGACAGAATGACTTCCCCAGCACCTGGCCAGATGCTGTTCCTCCTTGCTGTCAGAAAAGACAAAGCAGGACACCCTGGTAGGCATTCTCAATCGGTCCTGCTTCTATCCACTCACCTCATAGGGAGGAAAGGGCAGAAAATCCCCACAGTCACTCTGAATTCTTTCCTGCCATCTCGAATGTTGGATGGCACAGCAAGAGGCTGGAATACAGTCCCAGGCCTTCAGAATATTCTGAGACCTCTTAATTATGTAACATCTTTATATAAGTAGAAAAAAATTTATGGGGTATCAGGAGCTGCTCCTCACCAACTTTGCTCAATATTCCTTCTGCAGCTGTGAAGGAAAACCAAACCAGAGTGCAACAAATTGGCCTCCATAGAAATAGCACAGGTTTTCTTGTGTCACTCTCTTGCTTTGCAGTTGCTAGCAAGAAGAGGCAAAAAAAGAAAAACTTTCCTGATTTCCTGCTGCATGAGTGGGACAGCCTCAAGGAATGAACCTCATGCTGCCTTCCTAGAGTCATGTCCAGTTGAAAACCCAGACAGACCCGCTATGTGTGAAACAGCAAGAGGAGTGACCACCATTCCCACCATTTGGGGCTGCAGAGCATCCTCCTGGAAGGT